TGCATTCGACCCTACTTCCCTATCTATTATTAGTTAGTGGTTTTAAGAATTACTTTTGATTAGGTGATACGACTTTAGCCTGTCAAAATTTGGCGCCGTTGCCGGGGAAACAGTTTTATTTTTATTTCTGATTGTTTTCTGTAGTCTAGGTTATTTCTTCTTGTCTTAGAGAACGTTAGTTCTTTGAGGAAAGTCTCATATTTGCTTTTAGTTATTTGTTTATGCCCAGGTGTTCCTAATCAGGCTATATCCCATTCGATCTTGAGATCGAACGATCTTTCCATAGATAAAAGAATCTTTACAGGCAAATCTTGGCGGAAACTGGTAATAACAATAATTGTCGAGAACCTCCAACTGATTCTAGCGATTCAGAGGTATCTTCAGATCCAAAATCAAAGATGGCGGTACCTAAGAAGCTCAGTGGTTATTCGCAGCCAAAGCTTACAGATTTTCCACACCTTTCTCCCACTTCGGCTCTTGATGGGGTACTTTAGACGCCTAAAAATGTCTTCCAAAACCAAACCCGATGATGAGCACCTTTCGCCGCCATTATTGGTCGGGTTGAGTATTTAATATTTGGAGTGCTTAAGTCCATGTTCTATCCAATACATTTCATAAACCAATCCATTTCCTAGGTCATTTCCCTAAACCATAACTTGTTATCCACTTTTCGTGTCCACATCGCAAAACCGAGAGAAACTGATTTTTTGGTCTTATAATTTTGATCCGATTATTATTTGGTTGGATAGGCCTTGAAATAAGCTTTCCAACTATATATAATTAGCCCAATTCCGAGCTATATCGAAGAAGATACGAGCAAAACACTAAACTCGGCCCAAAACCGATACCCTTCCACTAAAACGGCCATATCTTAAAATATGCAAATAATTTTGACCTGATTCTAATTTGGTTGGAAATTAGACTTGATAAGATTTCCAATGATATGTTATTTGCCTTATTCCGAGTTACGGATCAAAAGTTATGATGATTTTAAAAACTGGTAAAAAAATTGGAATCACCGCGCACAGTGCAAAAGCACCGTGTCACGGGAGTGTGCACCGTCTGACAGTTTCTGGCACCGTGTCACGGTACTGAACATCGTGTCACGGTGCTATTTTCAAAGTTTTTTTGCGTCAAATTCCACCGTGGCATGGTACCTGTTGCCGTGACACTGTACTGAACACCATGTCACGGTGCTTTTTCCGTGTAATTTCCGCGATTTCCCATACCGTGACACGGTGTATAGTACTGTTCGACGGAGGACACTGCGGTGTCATGGAATTTTCTCGTGTCTTTTCCGTGTAAACCATTCACGCACTTTCACTTCCCGTAGGTCAAATATTTCACGTGTAGCACTGTTGTCCACCGTGTCACGGGAGTGTGCCCTATCTGACGGTGCCTAGCACCGTGTCACGGTGTTCTCTTCTGTGTCGCGGTGTTAATTTTTATGGTTTTTATCTTTTTAGGGCTTCGTGTGTTCCCTCTGCTCATTTTCCCTATAAATAAGACCCTCATTTCTGCAGTTCGGGGCATCAAATCCTTCTCTCTTTCTCTCTTTTACACCAAAAATAATTCTCTTCTCTTTCTCTCATATTCTAAGCCTCAAACCTATATTCCTAATTACATTATTCTCCCCTAAGCACTCCAAGGAGGCCATACTTAACCCGAGGTTCCGTCCTTAAACCAAGGCGTGAAAGGTACAAATAACTGAGGGTTTGAACCAAATCAACTCTACATTTATTTAATTTAATTTTCATTTGATTAATATTTTTTTTTATTGAAGTTACTAACAATTTATTCATGATGTAGCAATTTATAGGAACGCGCAGAATGTGAGTAATTAATTAATTTAATTACTTATTTTATTTTAATATTGCTGGTATCATGATTAGGTCATTTTATATTTGATTTGACTAACGAATTTATTGTTGAATTGCTTCCAATATTAATGTTTTTTCTATTATATTTATAATCACCATATTGCATGCTTAAAGGGAATATGTAATTGAAAATTACACCTAATAAGATAATTTGGACAACCAGTTTAGGCTCATTTTTAATCTTATTGTTTAATCAAGTGATCACGATATTTTAGAATTATATGTTGCATTAATATTCAACTAATTTAGTATAATAATAATTTGGATCGAATTGAATATTTTGTTTATATGCCTTTGAGATCGCAGGAATCACTTTTCACTATAAGAATCGAGTAGAGGCCAATACGGCCGAATGTGACTCCATGACTCACTTCATACCATCATCCCCGATCCTCCTTTCGTGGTTCCGAACCATATGGAGTTAGTAATCTCATGGATTATAAATGGGGTGTAACCTTCACGGGTCAATCGTTGTTGCCTATCGTTGTCCCTTAATCGTGGCTGCCTTTTATGATCCATGAACGGTTTAAAGTTCCTTAAAAACTTGTTGGCGGCTCCCTACTTTCCTTGTCCCTAATCGTATATGTCAATTTCCACTTCTTATGAGTGCCAAACATATTCACAACATGCTTTTAACGTAGGCGCATTTCGAACGACGCCTACAGGTACAATTTGAGATTAAACCCCAATTTATCACGATGATAGAAAGGAAGCAATTCAATGGAGCTAAGGGTGAAGACCCAAATCTTTATATTGCAGACTACTGTCAGTATTGTAATACCATCAGGCAAGTTGGGGTCACTTAGCACCAAATCAGAGAGATTCTCTTTCCTTTCTCTTTATGAGGAAAAGCCAAATTATGGTATAATGGATTGAATAGAACTGCACTTGGTATAACTGACTGGGAGACTCTTGTTTTAAATTTTTATAATAAATACTATCCTACAGAGATAACAGCTGTACTAAGGAGCGCTATTCAGAACTTTGCCCAAGAGGTCGATGAAACTCTATATGAGGCTTGGAAAAGGTTCAAGGATCTATAGAGAGAATGCCCCCACCATAATCTGGCACAATGGCAGTTGATCCAAGCCTTTTACAGTGGGATAGGAAACTCATCTAGAATAATATTGGATTCTGCAGCTAGTGGGAGGTTTATGAACCTTAATTTTGATGATGCAGGTCAAGTTATTGAAGATATGACAATACATAATTCCCAATATGGGAATCCCAGAGGCTTTGCTAACAAAGAGAAACATAGTGTCGACTTTGTATCCTTTTTACAAGCTCAATTAACCTCTATTTACCAGAAATTAGATAATCTTAATACTGTAAATGTAGCTAATGTTTCTGCAATTAATAATAATGCTAATGAGACTTTCTGTGAAAATTGTGGAATTGTAGGTCATTTGGAGCAAGATTGCAGGAGTTCCTTGGAGCAAGTCAATGCCTTTCAATCTTATAGGCAGAATGACCCATACTCCAACACCTACAATCCTGGGTTTCGGAATCATCCATATCTTTCCTACCGGAGCACCAATGTTCAAAATCCGCCACCTCCACAACAATCACAGGCGCCACAACAACCACAGCAGATATATTTCCACCCTAAAACTGGCCAGAAGAGCCAACCACAACAACCCTCCTCATCTTCCGACCCTACTTTGACAGAAATTAAAACGATGCTGGCTAGTATGCAGAAGCACATGGAGAGTAGAGATGTCCAAATTGATTCGATCATAGCACATAATAAAATTGTAGATAATCAAATTGCGCAGATTTCTGCTACTCTACAAGCCCGTCAACAGGGAGCCCTGCCAGCACAGCCAACTAGGCCTACATATCAAGCTTTTGCAATTACCCTAAGGAGTAGTTCACACTATGAAGGGCCCCTATGCCCAGAGATGATGAACCTATTTTAATGAATAATGCTAATCTTGATTCCATTAAACCTGACAATGTAGCTAATAGCCCTGTAGGGCTAAAGAGTAGCACTAATATTTCTGATAATACATTGCAGGGTACCACTCCAAGGAAGGTAGCAGCTCCAGATAAGAGTTGTAATGCTCCAAAGCCAGTTATCAAACTTCCATTCCCCAATCGTCACTTGAAAACAAATTTGGATAAGCAGTTTAGTAAGTTTCTGGAGATGGTTAAAGATTTGCAGGTAATAGTTCCCTTCACTGAATTAATTACACAAATTTCTGCATATGCAAAATTCATGAAGGAAATATTGACTAGAAAAAGGTCTATTAGTGAGGTAGAGACAGTCGCTTTCACTGCAGAATGTAGTGCCGTACTTCAAAATAAATCTCCACCTAAACTGAAAGATCCGGGTAGTGTATCTATCCCTTGTCATATTGGTAATCTAATGATTGATAATGCATTATGTGATTTGGGTGCTAGTGTTAGTGTCATGCCATTGTCTGTGTGTTCCAAGCTAAATATGGGTAAATTAAAAGCTACTAATATTACTCTACAAATGGCCGACCGTTCTTTTAAATACCCCTTAGGTGTTTTAGAGGATGTTTCTGTTGATTTTGTTGTTCTTGATATGGCTGAGGATATGCAAACCCCAATTATTAGGGTAGACCATTCCTTAACACTGCAGGAGCAATTATAGATGTGAAATGTGGCAAATTGACGCTATTAGTAGGGGACGATAAAATTACTTTTAATCTGAATAATACCCCTAAAAGCCCCATGGTAGAGGAGAAGTGTTTTAGTGTTAATGTGATTCATAATTATTCTAACAAGCCCCAAGCTCTTGTAAAAGATCCGTTGGAGGCGGTATCTTGTGTTACATCTTCTATAGATGAAATAGACAAATGGCAAAAGGAAGTTGATGCAACAAAAAGATCCCTCTACACTGTCGGTCTTGGCTTTGAAGATGAGAAGGTGGAAATAAACAAGCTAGCTGTGGAAATTGAGCGTACAATAAGTGCTCCGCCATATCGAGTTGCAATTGCTCAATCTAGTGATAATTTGAAGCAACCATCGGTCAAAAAGGGGTCTCTAGTGTCACTACTACAAATTCCTTACTATTCCTACACTTTTTTTCCGACACTTAATGAACTGTCGCTGTTGTTATTTTTTTCCCTTATAATTTCGACACTTGATAACATCGCTAAATTATCCCACTAAATCATGCCAAACATAAAAAGCGGGCTCTAAATTTTTGTTTGGCGCCTCTCCAATTTTACCAAAAAATTGGGCAGCATACATATCTATCTATTGAAAAAGTGAAAAAAATAAAAAAAAAATAAAAAAAGAAAATCAACCTAAGCTATAGCGTGGAAGTTATAGGGTTCTATTCTAAAGTGTAAACAGTAAGCCATTGAAACAAAAATTCTCAAAATTCTTGTGCACTCAAAATTCTCAAATACCTAGCTATTGAAGATTGATTCATGGTTAATTGGTGATTTCTTTGGCGGAAATTCAAGAATCAATTGTAGATTAAGAGGTAAGAACTCTAATTTCTTTTGTTTTCGTCTTCTTAATTGATCATTTTTCTGGGCTCCAATTTGTTGTAATCCTTTGAAATTGTTCGTTGTTTGATGTGACTTTGATTTTTCTTTGTATTTCCTACCTGCAATTCATGTGTTTTTCTTGACTACAATTGCTACATTAACTCTCTATTCTTATTATTTTTGTGGGATTTTCTCTAATGTAATTGGGGCTTTCCTTCTGTTCGGGGTTTTGTTTGGAATTTCAAGATCTTCTGGGTTTTTGTTAGGAACTTTCTTATATCTTCATCATCCTACTTAGATAAAAGTAAAATAATCTATTGATATTAATTTTCTGTCTAAGATCAGAATTTCCTTTGATTAAAATTTGAAACTTTGGTATTATGTTTATTATAATAGTGAATTGAGATTGTGACCCACTAGTGCTGTAATATAGTTTTAATATTTACACATGCAACTTCAAATATGAGTTTTTAGGTATTAATTATTACTTCTATGTTATTAGTGATGTGCTGTGTGAAGTATAACAGTCAATAGATGATTGTGATTAAGCAAAGGATAGTTACAACTTGCTTTTTAATGGAATTTTCTAATATACACAAATGAACTAGTTGTCTTAGCTTAGTTTAATCCCTAAATTACGTAGAAGGTCTGCTCCTATAAGTTTTCTTTATGATAAAAGCAAAGTGTTCTTGGTCCTACACTATTTAGTTAAAGAGTCTTAAGTGTCTTCCTTGGATATAATTGACTTCTTTGAATTTTTATATCTAAAAATTGATTCTTTAAGGTGAAACATGACTGCATATATACTAATTGACACAAAGAATGAAAAAGACAAAAAAAATAAAAAAGGCTTTGTCATAACATTACAAATTTGAGTTAAGGATGTTCCTAATTATAATTCTTAGACTATTATTGTATATCACCATATGGTATAGATAATTAAGTTGAGGAAACTATTGCAAAGTTGAGTCACATGATAACATTCAGTTATAAGTTAACTGTTGGCTTTATGAACAAAAGTCTCATAGACAAGACCTTCAACTTTTTTTTAAGTTGGATGAGTTATTGTTATTCTTACCTGACAGAGGGCGATTGCAATTTCTGGTCCAATGACCCGTATACCTTAACATAGTATATACCTTAATAATTTATCTAGATATAGTTAATAGTGTATTAACATCTTATTTCTTTTTACCATTTTAAGAGCTTAGAGTATCTATGAGATTTATATTCATATTGCTTCTATATGACCTTGTTAGGTTATACTGTTATAAATCAAAGTTAGATGCCTTTCATTGTGGCTTCGAGTCTTTTTTTTTATAGTATACTTCAATGGTTGCTTTTTTTTTTTTTAAAAAAAAATTTGTTTGTAAGGATAATCTTATTTGAAAAGCATGGATATCGATACAAGTTGGATTGAACTACCCAATAACCATCCAACTTATATTAGTGGAACTATCAAATTCATTAAGTTGGCTAAAGAAGGGCTTGTAGATGGAAAAGCTCTCTGCCCTTGTAAGAAATGTAGGGTGGATGAGTGGTTGACAATACCAGAAATAGAGGAGCATATTTTGTTTCAAGGTTTTGACAAGCGATACAAGATATGGATTTTTCATGGCAGAGGACCAGTCCTTGAGCACATGTTTAGTGATCAGCATGGTTCAATTGGGGATGTTGCTGGAAGCACTAGTCAACGGGCTCAACATGGGGTTATAGGTCGAGATGATATGAGAGGATTCTTAGGATATGCTTTTGGTGTTAATATGTCCAATGTGAATGAGCTTGAACCTGTATATCCACATCATGTTGGATCTAGTGATCAAAGTGAGCCTAACTTTTTTTGCCATTCCTCGATTAATGAGCCTACTCCATCCGCAACACAAGTGATGAATGAAAAAGAAAAAGCTAACTTTGAGAGACTATTAGAAGCTTCAAATAAGGAATTATATGATGGATGTAAGACATTCTCTAAACTTTCATTTCTTGTGCGAATGTTCCACATACAGTGTATGCATCACTTATCTGCTGAGTCCTTTACAATGATTCTTGAACTCCTAATTGAAGCATTTCCTCAAATTATGGAGTTCCCATCTTCATTTTATGAGTCCAAGAGAATGATTAATACCTTGGGTCTTTGGTATGAAAAAATTGATGCTTGCCCTAATAATTACATTCTCTATCGAGGTGAACATTCGGACAAGGATGAATATGATGTATGCCATGCTTCGAGATGGAAAACAACTAAGTCTAAAGAAGGTAGTACAAGTGGGGAAAATAAAGATGTAAAGAAAGATAAACCTGCGAAGGTATTTCGATATTTCCCTTTAATACCAAGGTTAAAAAGACTTTTTATGTCGTCTAGGACAGCAGAAGATATGATATGGCATGAGAAGGATCGCGATAAACAGGAAGGTATATTGAGGCATCCTGCAGATGCTTCAGCATGGAAAGATTTTGATGATAAATATCGTGATTTTTCTTCTGATCCCCGAAGTGTGAGACTAGGGCTTGCTAGTGATGGTTTTAATCCTTATTATGAATACCACGCATAGTACATGGCCAGTGGTGTTAATGATTTATAATCTCCCACCATGGTTATGTATGAAACGTTCTTCATTTACTCTTTCCTCTATAATTCCTGGAAAATCAAGTCCCAGAATTGACATTGATATCTATTTGCAACCTTTAATGGATGAGTTGAAGTTATTATGGGAGGGAGTAGATGCATTTGATGCTTACAAAAAACAATATTTTAAACTGCGTGCTGCTCTAGTGTGGACAATCAACGATTTTCCAGCTTATGCAATGTTATCAGGGTGGAGTACGAAAGGATATCATGCATGCCCTTCTTGTGCCCATGAAAATCCTACTGTAAAGTTGGCAGGTAAAATGTGTTACAAAGGGTTTCGAAAGTGGCCATCCATTGATCACCCGTATCGATTGCAAGCCCATTTGTTTGATGGGACACAAGAGTATGGTCTTGCTCCAAGCCGTCAATCAGGGACTGATGTTCAAACTCATCAACAAGAAGGGGTTGCATATACATATGGGAAAGGGAAAAAACCTTCTAAAAAAAAGAGAGCAAGACAAGATGATGATGATGATGACGAAGAAAATGATGATTCTGATGTTTTGTGGACCAAAAAGAGCAAATTTTTTGATTTTCCTTATAGGGAGCATAATCCTCTTCGTCATAGTTTAGATGTTATGCACATTGAAAAAAATGTGTTACAATTTCTTAGTCACTTTACTAGATGTAGATAAGAAATCCAGGGATAATGAAAAAGTTAGAAAGGCAATGAAAGAAAAAGGAATAAAGCCACATCTTTGGATAGTCCAAACAGGCAATCAATTATGCCTCCTGCTTCTTATTCTATGTCAAAAGAGGATAAACTACGATTCTTAATGGTATTCCATAAATTAGGAGTTCCGGATGGATAATGTTATAACCTCTCAAGATGCGTGAATATGAAACAAAAAAAGTTTCAGAATCTTAAGAGTCATGACAACCATGTCATTATGAAAGACCTTTTGCTTGTAGCTCTACAAGCTTCAAGAACTATAGAAATTGTTGATTTGGTGTCAGAGTTATCATCCTTTTTCAAAATTGTGTGCTCTACCACCCTTGATGTGAAAGTGTTGGATGAGATACAAACCAAAATTGTTTTAACTCTTTGTAAGATGGAGATAGAGTTTGTACCGACATTTTTTACAATCATGGTTCATTTGGTCATTCATTTAGTGGAGGAAGCCAAACTTGGTGGACCAGTCCATTATAGGTGGATGTATCCTATTGAAAGGTTAGCATTTAAAATTAAATATTTAATCTATCGAATATTTTTATGTATTAAATATTTATATTTATTTTCTTTAAACTGTATTTGGTAGGTACTTGGCCCATTTGAAATCATTTGTGAGTAACAAAGCGCAACCAGAAGGGTTAATTGCAGAAGGATACCATTTAGAAGAGATGATTAACTTTTGTTCAAGATACTTAGAAGAAATTGAGACCTTATTTTATAGGCTGAAGAGAAATGACAATCATATTCTGGATACAAGTGCTTATTTATTTAATTCTGGTCGTTGATTCATTGGGGCGAAGAAAATTGCTCGTTCAGATAATAAAAGTCTAGAGCAAGCACATCACTATGTTTTACTTCATTCTGATGAGATGGCTGAATTTCGTGAGTAAGTATTAAGTTAAGTTCCTTAATATATTTTTCTGTCTTTTATTTGTATGGTTGTTGTTTCTATAATTCAAGTGTTTTGATATTTTACAGTGAGTTCTTACGCCAGAAGCGATGTGAGAATCGATTTAGAGGAGTACGAAGTGACACAATAATAGAGTATGATTGGATTATAAAAGATTTCTCTGATTGGCTTAGAGCCCAGATTGTTAAATATAGACTTCTGTTAAAATGAGACATTATTCATTAATTTATTTTGCTTACTTTATTAGTTATTTTGTCATTTCAGGTACATAACATAGATAGCAGTAGTGAGCAAGGGAAGCTAAGGAAAGCTTTAGCAAGTGGTTTATATGATCGTACTACAGAGTAAAAAGGCTTTGTAATCAAAGGCTACAAGTTTCTGGCTGTAGACCATGAACTCTACCGCAGGACACAAAAATTCAGGAGTTATGGTCGAGGCAGATGGCCAGTTTTACTATGGAAAATTCAGGAAAATATATGAATTAAGTTATTATGGGACTTATAAGGTTGTGGTGTTTCGGTGTGATTGGGCAGACATTAGTAAGGGACTGAAGAAATATAAGAATGGGGTACTTCTATCAACTTTTCAAAGTTGATGCATAGTGGACGATTAATGAAAGATGATCCTTTTAATTTTTCATCTCAAGCGAAACAAGTTTTTTATGTTGAAGATGAGATAGAAAAAGGGTGGTTACATGTTATAGAATCTAAGCCTAGGGATTTTTTTGAAATGGGAGATAAATAATTGATGTGTAACTACTGTTTCCATTTTGAATGTTGGTATTACATGCATGAACTGAAATTTCAGATTTAATGTACCATTTTATTTTGAGTTTTGTTTATTATTAGACAAGTTTATTTGCTATATGTAGCTTGAAACTTTTTTTTTTCATGAAAATTAACAAGTTTATGTGTAGCAGCTGAATATGTTACGTAGCAAAAGAATCAGGAGCAATTATGGTAATGATCAAGGTCAGAGAACCGGTCAAGGAGCAGGCCAGGGAACATGTCAGAGAACAGGAATAGGTCAGGGAACAAGTCAAGGAGCAAGTCAGGGAACAAGTCTAGGAACAGGTCAGGGAACAAATCAAGGAACAGGTCAGGGAACAAGTGTTGCTTATACAGTCACTTCTGATGAGCTTAATAATTCCAATGCATCTCAAATGAATTTTGGTGAAAACTCTTCCAATGACAATGGGAATGAAGCGTGTATAAATGGTGGAGGTTCAAGAAAGAATGCCAAGAGAAAGAAGCGCTCCATTCTTGTAAATGGGAACTCTTCTACTGACGAAGCCCAAGATTGGAGTGATGATGTTAACTTTGATGAAAGAGAGGATGTTCGTGCTATTGGTAAGATACCTTACACGAGTCTTTGTTTTCAGACATATCATGATTTTTTTTTTAAAATAATACATGTACTTCTCCCCTTTTCCTATTCAATTTAGTTTTGGAAATGACCGTATGTGATATCTTTGCTTTGTATGTGTAACATGTAGTTCTTTATTCTGAACTGCGGTGGTGTTTGTGTTGTATATTGATGTAATATAAGAAGTATTTCAAGGCTATTTTCTAAAATAAGATCGAAAAGATGATCTCGTGACAATGAAAGAGTACGGTGTGTCGTAATACAAATCACTGACTTGAAAACGAAATTCCGGCGCAACCGGGGTGCACTATTGTATTCGCCGGCACGTTCCCTAAGGTTAACACACCACTTCCACACAAAGGCACTTTTGGGTGGAAGGTTGGAGCCAAGTAACTTATGCCCAATATAGAGTATGTGTTTAAGCAAGCTTGTGTTTGATATGTATTTCTTGTGTATGTCAAAATAAGAAAACATCCTCCAATTTATAAAGATGAATAAAGAAGATGAAAGATCATGGAGGAATCTTTAATGAACCAAAAAGAGAAATCAGAAATATTATGGTGATTAAAAACACCATAATCAACCTCTTAAATGGGGGGTTACAAGAAATCAAACAAGAAGAGGAATCCAAGGGAACCGTTGGAGTTCAACGGACAAACACGCGTCGGATCGGGCGGACACTCCTTTTTTCCAGACGTCTTCTCGAGCCCGGTCGGGCGGAGCTTGCCCGATCGGGCGGCAGAACTCTAGAATTTTACGACTCTTCTCGCGCCCGATCGGGCGGGTCTCGCTCGGTCGGGCGCCCATATCTGACCCTTTGAATTTCCTTTCTTGATTTCCAACAATCCCCCACTAAAGGAAGGGAAGAAAAGCCAACAAAAGATGAGGATAAGCAACATATTGGGCATAAGAGGAGATCAATACATAACACTTAGATATTACATAAGTAATTTGAAATCTAGTGCTTAGTGAAATGAGATAATGAATTACAAGTATAAGGGTGGACAAGCCTTGAAACCCTTAGACTCTTGATCAAGGAGTGGACTAGCCTTGAAACTCCAAGATTTAATTCAAGACCCCCACATCACATACCTTTCTCCAAAAATTTACTTGAACTCCGTGAATAGATATGCTCTTTTATAGCCAAGCATATTCACCTTAGGTCTAGTGGAAGCTCTAGGAAATCCGCCCAAATTTTCCATAGAAGATGGCTAGTCTTCACAACCACACAGGTGAATCACAGGCACTTCTCAAAAGTACTTATTCAACGGGGTTAAAACATGTTCATAAGAACTCAACAAATGCTGCATTATAGCCATTTACCCCCACATGATCATGGATTCATTAAGAGCTTAACGCTCAACCTCACAATAATCATAAACAACGGTGATCCAAAGTTTTAGTGCGTCCACCCAAACAATTGGATTCATTAAGAGTCAAAGGACTCAACCTCAAACGGTGGATCAATCAAGTGCGTCTCAAATAACACCAACCAAAAATGGTCTATTGATCCATTAAGAACTCAAAAGAGTCCAACCTCAAACAAGAATTACAACACATGTCATAGGGATAGGAAAGTAATGCTTTTCCACATGGACTTAAGGCCTACCCCCCTCGACATTTCCACAAATTATCAAGGATGTTGTTACATGTGCCAAATTTCCTTACCATAGTGCAAAATTGTTTTGCTAGAATATTTTTTCCAATAAGGAAAACTAGCATGTTTTCAACATCAACTTAATTTGCACAAATGGTTAGAAAAATATATCACTTAGTTTTTCACCATTAGATGAATAAGTAATAAGACAACGAACCCAAGACTTGAAATTTCAAAACCTTAATCAAGTCCAATCCTTGAAAATAACATAGCCGCATTTGTGAACTTTCTTCATCAACTATCAATCACCAACACTTGCCTTCCGAAAGGTGAAGTAAATTTAAACAATGTTAGTCATTCACTATTAGATATGTAAAATATTGCACTTCAACTATTTCACAAATATATGCTATGTTAAAATAAAATGCAATGCATGTCATTATCACATTGCTAAATGTATTAGCATACTCCACTCAAGACATACTTTAAGACCTCTTTAAAGTACATACACATAATTCATGCTAAAACATACTCCACTTAAATGATAACATGAACAACAAATATCATATCATTGCATAAATCTTTCCAATCACGAAACATGTATGACACTTTGAAGAAAACCAAAACTCATAATGATCATTATTATTCTGAAAATAATAAAACATATTGTCATAATCCAAATCGTGAAAATTGCTCGACAAAATTGGAAAGATAAGAATTTCAAGAAAGTTGTTAACTACAAATCACATGTGATTCTCGACACCACCACATTTCTCACATTGTAGAAATAGCACAAAAATATATATTACCTTGAAGCAAGTAGTGAGAAACAAACTTAATCACAAGTATTAGATTCTCACAAGGTACTAACCACACTCTTGTACCACTCCCTAGGTAATAATCTCAAGTCAGCTCATACTTCAACTTATAACTCACACTTGAACTTCAATTCACATTTCTTATCTTCAACATGGAACTCACCAACCAACCCACTTAAGTCATCACTTAGAAGGCTTAACAAACCACTAGAGGGGAACTTATCATCAAAGACTAAAGATCCGAAATAATTAAGTCATCCAAGTAAGACTTACATCGTTCCATTAAGACAAGAAAGACAAACTCACCTTTACTCACAAAAATAGCCTTGATCATTCCCAACAACACTTAGTGAATTGACATGGAAAAGACTATAGAAGAAATATTAGGAAACACACTCCATAAAAAGATAGGAGAACTCTAGGAAAGTTAAAATTATCTAACTCATCCTCAATAACTTCTTCTAAAATAACCAATCACTCACATCATTAATTTATTGAGTTAAGGAAACACTCTTCACACATTGCATAGAGAAACCAAATCAAGACAAATAAATAATAGTCTTTAGCATAACTAGTCACTTTCATGCTTTGCATCAAATAGAAGAGAAACTAAAAATGATGCCTCTTATTCCTCTTATAGTTAACTTGTTTACTCAATAAACAAAATAAATGCATATATGGGAATATAGCAATCAAGAGACATGAGAATTTCATATGCATAGCCAATCACTCAAACATGACATAATGCATAGAATTGCTAAAACAAATTATTAAAGCAAAGGATATAATTTAATTGTGATGAATGGAGATTTCCAAATATTATAGTACATGGAGATAATCCAACAATGACATACAATAATCCAACATTGTGGTATATGGAGACAATCCAACATTCACAAAGTCATGGAGCATAGTATCATTTGCTTAAGAAAACAAATCCAAAATATCAAATAAACCAAGATTTTGAGTCCAACATTTATTCTCATATACTTTTCCCCCACATTGGACGATATAAGTCTTCAACTTAAGTATTGAAATTAGACATGGTAAACTCTATTCCTTTAACATGGGGCATATAAGGACTAAATTCCTACTGCAAAATTCTACACTCATAGAATCATAACCCCCACATACCAAAGTTAAGTCTTAAATCAAAACATAGTTGATAAGGAGTAAAGGAATATGTGAACATACCTCCATAGTGCCTCTAATAATTTACCTTAGCGATCAATGACGAACAACCCAATGACCACCACTTGTAGTGATTGTGCATCCACCAAGTATTTTGAGCTTCTTGGAGCACATTTGAATTCATGTTCTTTGCTTGAAAAATATTGACATTATGTGGAGATTTACTAGACATAGCACCAAAAGAAATAAAATTCTTAAGAATCACTTCCCACACATAAGAAATCGATAAATAATCCTTAATGAAATGTCAATACCAAACCAAATTGAATCAAGTAAGAACAAATATGAACAAAACACGTAATAAGAATTAATAACTCTTGAAAACTCTATCTTAAGGTGGATAAACAAAGAAGTAAAATAACCTAACCATTGAATTAAATAATAATTCAAACATTATCATACTTTCAAAAATTCATCATAAGGTTGACACACTACATATCAAAAATAGTCACCAAAAGTATTTCAAGAGTATTAAAAATTAATTAAAGTAGTCATCCATTCTCAACAAGAACTATGACACCACTAAGAGTCACAAATACAACCACTAAGCATGTTTTCCATGAAAATAATACACGTATGGCTCTTAGCTTCACATAATTCTTATTCAAAAACTTCTCATACTTAATAAATTGAAAGAATTAACATAAGTTTTTGAGAAAAAGTATGCAAAAAGAGCGTTATCATGAGCATGAGCAAAGTCTCCACAAGCAACATGAATATATATATGTATATTAACACATATGTACCAAAAGTAATAGACTTTGACATTGCATCACACTCCGCATAATCACAAAATTCATGGTAAAACTTACAATTTAACAAGTCTTAAACAACCATGAACTATTTATTAAAATAGGCATGTAAATATTAGGAACACAACATATTGCTAAAAGAAAATTAATCTTAAGCAATAACCTAATATTTACTTTCTCAATGAACAAAACAACACATATGTTCAAAAATCAACAAATTGGTAAATAAAACCAACTAACATATTTCTAAGTGCTAAGTTCAAACCACAAGCATAGAACAAAGACATAGAAATAATCATGCCATGTAACATCACACATATATAACATGGATTATACTTTAGCCTATAAACTAATAATCATGTAACAAATACTACATTATGGACAAAATAATCATCTAATATTATAATGCCAAAAATCACAACTCATATATTTGCCAAGAAAATTATTAGAATTAAAATCACGTGCTAAGCATAATCAAAATAAAATTAGTTTAGAGAGGACCTCCCTTGAATTAATTCAATTGTCAAAGATGAGCATTCTCCGTAGTACGCCCAAATTTCCTCTCCAAAAATGCAGCTTAACATTGAAGCTATAACTCCCAAACGTGAGCAGCTATCAACGATCCAACCGTTGAAAATGAAGCTTCATATGTCCCGAACAAACTCCCAAAATTTCAGCCCAAACCAACAACGATTGACCTTCGATCTGGGTCCATTTCCGGGACTGCTCCCAGAAAAACGTGAGCAACATTTTTTTTCCCAAAAAATTGTTTTTTCTTAATATCATCCCATCTTTCGACCAATACCCAATTAGTAGCCAATGAAAATATATAATTTCGTTTTCAAATTGTTGTAATATAGGAAGTATTTCAAGGCTATATTCTAAAATAAGAAGATCGAAAGATGATCTCGTGACAATGAAAGAGTACGATGTGTCGTGATGCAAATCACTGACTTGAAAACGAAATTCCGGCGCAACCGGGGTGCACTATTGTATTCGCCGGCACGTTCCCTAAGGTTAACACACCACTTCCACACAAAGACACTTTTGGGTGGAAGGTTGGAGCCAAGTAACTTATGCCCAATATAGAGTATGTGTTTAAGCAAGCTTGTGTTTGATATGTATTTCTTGTGTATGTCAAAATAAGAAAACATCCTCCAATTTATAAAGATGAATAAAGAAGATGAAACATCATGGAGGAATCTTTAATGAACCAAAAAGAGAAATCAGAAATATTATGGTGATTAAAAACACCATAATCAACCTCTTAAATGGGGGGTTACAAGAAATCAAACAAGAAGAGGAATCCAAGGGAACCGTTGGAGTTCAACGAACAAACACGCGCCCGATCGGGCTAAGCTCGCCCGATCGGGCGGACACTCCTTTTTTCCAGACGTCTTCTTACGCCCGGTCGGGCGGGGCTCGCCCGTTCGGGCGCCAGGTCGGGCGCCCGATTGGGTGGAGCTTGCCCGATCAGGCGGCAGAACTCTAGAATTTTACGACTCTTCTCGCGCCCGATCAGGCGTCTGATCGGGCGCCCATATCTGATCCTTTGAATTTCCTTTCTTTATTTCCAACATATATTTGGCTGAAATATGAGTTAAGCTAACAAACATGGCATTAAGACCAACTTTATTATAGTAGTTTATAAATACTTTATTCAAACAACTTATTTATATATGTATTATTCTTATATGCTTGAGTTGTAGATTCTGAAGGAAATGTGCAGTTATGGAGTGGTTCTATACAACCACATGATGTGTGGTTTCTTGAAAAAGGAGTCAGATTTGAAGTTATATTCAACGGATTTTGCCAACCAATTAGAAAGGGCGGATCAATTATTGTGAAATTCATTTCAAGTATCGCAAAGAAAGATGATATTTGTCCTATAAGAGATGTAAATTGGCGAAATGTGAATAAAACAATACTAGGTGATATTGTTAGTTTGATTCGTGTAAGTGGTTTTAATTATATTTTTCATTCAGTTGATTCCTTGACATATACATATATTTTACAATATTATTATATCCAAAAAATATATGAATTTTTTAGGAAAAAATCATCATTCCAGATGGTAAAATATATGATGATGCAATGCTTAAGCACGTGGGTAAGCATCGTAGGCAGTGGAAGTTTGAGCTCAAAGCTAAATATTTCAATCCCACAGTACGAACCAGAACACAAATTGAAAATGATAGGCCAGGAGGAATTGTTCGTGAGAATTGGCTTCCGTTGGTTGAATATTGGTTTTCAAATAAAAGCAAGGTACTCTGTTACAATCTCTGTTTTACATTTTGCTTTCCGATTTAAAGTCATTTTGTTAATTAATTGAATGGTTGTTGATTTAATGAAATGAACTTACTTTTGTTATGATAATGTTAGAATTATTCTGAAATCGGAAGAGAAGCACGTGCTTCTTTGGGACATCTACATACTAATGGTGCTACGAGCTTTGCTAATTCAAGAGACGAATCTGTATGACCGATGCATTTGTTGACCATTTATTCATAAATATTAATCTGTTTTTGTGATTTTAAAATATATTAATTGAATGATGAATTCGCTTATGAAGGAGATTGAGCATGGAAGAGAGCCCGGTGCTTATGAGTTTTTTTATAAAACTCATCAACCAAAGAATGGATGCTATCCTAACAACACAAATACTGGAGAATTCATTGTATTATTTTCTAACTTATTTCATATTTTATTTTAATTACCTGCTAACCTTGTAATTATACACTTTACATGTGTGTGACTATATACTTTCATGCAGGACATGGCAAAAAAAAAGGATTGATTCAAGTGCTGCAAATTCATCAACTCCGAAGCCTCAAGAAGTGATAGAGAACGAAGTCTTCAATGATTTGATGTACGATAAGGATAAAAAAAACCAAAGACCATTGGGTTATGGATTTGGGGTGAATCATAATGACATGTTTGGAGTTCATGCATTATTGCGAAAAAAGGGGCACTTCTTATAATAGTAGCAATGACCAGATTATGAAAGCTGATTTTGCAAGGTATAAGAGGCATACCACAAACCTCTTAATGAGTCTGACAACACAGATAACTAACGTGTTGGATGCAGTGCGAAGCGGTAATGTCTCCAATGAAATGTTAGATGCTACTTCGACAGCATTACGCTCCATACATGCTCAGGTCAGCATCCCTTTTTGTAAAAATATGTAACATTTTTTTGTTTATAAATTATATATATACAGTGGTAACCTTTGACTGGTTCTGGTAGCCTTTGGGAATCTGTTCTCTCGATTGTCCAGTTTAATTTATCTATGTTATGTAGTAGTATCCTAAGTACTATCCTAAAAACTGATGTTCTCTATTTTGCTTTTTTTTGGACTGATGTTGGATGTTCTCTATTTTGCTTTTTCTTGGACTGATGTTGGAGCTAGCAGATTAGTGGAGCTAATCTGGGATTTTGGCTCTTTTGGTTGTACTGCTATTATTATTAATTAATTATTTTCCTTGGTTTCTAAAAAAACAGTGGTAACTTGTAAGGTGTACATGGATTAAAGTGCACCTTTAAAATAGTAAGCTGTAGATTTATTTGTTATGGAATAGGAATCTTATATTTACTTTTTGTATTATATGGATCAAATAAATTGCACAACATATTAATTGATGTCTTTTTTTCACAGAATATGGAAAAATCAAATGGAGCTGATGATGAAGATGAAGACGAGGATGAAGATGACTTGGATCTTTCTACTTGATTGGGCATGGAAAAATAGCACATATATTTTGCTCATTGAATATGGGAAACAATACAACATACATTATGGAATAGGAATCTGTTTTTTTTTTTGTTGACCATTGTTACAAATGGAGATCGTTAGTGAACTTAATTTCTTGTTTAGAATTTTAGCATTGTCGGAAACTATGATTATGTTATTTTGATGATGAACGAATTTTAAGTTTATGTATGGATTGTCGGAGATTGTGGTTTTGTTATTTATAGAATGAGATGTGTAGTACTACTTTTCTTATTGTTTAACTTTTACTTATTTATTATATTATGTGAGTGCAAATAGAATTTATTTTTGACAACTAGTAGGATACATATGGTCCTATAAATTATTTCATATAGGGCGACGCTTGAAAGAGTTGAAATAGATATAAGATATGAGAAAATCTCGACATCTTGATGCGTCCATTAATTCCTATAAAAAATCACTAAAATTAATCTCGACGCTTTTTAGTGTCTAAATACTTCCCGCTTTTTTCAAAAAACAGGTATTTCCGACACTTTAGAATGTCAAAAGTGTAAGGCGGGAAAACAAATAAATTTATTCCTCTAAAAAATAGTGACACTTTAAAGTGTCGGAATGTGAAGTATAGATGCTTTAAAACGTCGATATTATTGACAAAACGAAGTGTCGGGAATTTCCGACATGCGAAATTCCGACACTTTACAAAGTATCGGTAGTTACTTTACCGACACTTTGAAGCGTTGAGAAAACACGGAAAATGTGTAGAAAAGGCTAGGGTATTCTAGTAGTAAAGAACCCCTAGTTCAAATCAAGGAGGATCCACCAGATAAGGTGAATTGGCGTCCCACAGGGTATGTCAGGAAGTCACGTCATGGTCTAAACACTGCTCGACCGGGTGAGAAACCACTCGACTAAGCTGTAGGCCAAGGGTCCTAGTTTTTATACTTGGTAAGAGGGTCATGCGGGACCTAGATAAACCAGCGCTTTGCGGGAGGCAACCCGTATTTTCTTGCTTTCTAGACTAGTTTTTCTTTCTTTTTCTTATGAAAGGAGAGAGGAGGGAGTTTATTGAGTATTTGTACAGGTTTTAAGGAAAAATGTTGGTTAAAATTTGAAGAAAAAAGGAAAAAAAAACCCCTGTACTAATGTTGTCTCGGGCCCGACCGGGCGAAGCACCGCCCGATTGGGCGCGAGACTAAGGGTTCAAATTCAAGGATTTTCGCCCGACCGGGCGAAGGGCGTCCGACCGGGTGCGAGAATTGACGAAATACGGAGATTTTAATCGCCCGATCAGGCGAAGCGCGCCCGACCAGGCTCGAGATTCGAAGAAAAATCGAGCGGATTTTCGCTTGACCAGGCGGACGGCGCCCGACTGGGTGCAAGAGGAGTTTAATTTATGGAATCAGATCGCCCGACCGGGCGTGGATACCTCCACCCATATCTTCTTCTTCTTCCTTCTTTCTTTTCTCATTTCTTCCTCTTTCTACCATTTTTTCTCTCTCTAAAACCTTAAACTCTCTAACTTCTCTCTAAGATCTCGTCTCCATTCCTCATCCAAATTCAATAATTTTTACATATTTATAACCCTCTCTTCATTCTCTACATTCCCATACCAAAATCCCCAAATTCTGTTCAGAAAAAGAAAAAATCTTACCCATTTTTGAAATATGGCATCAAAGAGGTCGAGGAAAATTCTAGGGAGGAGTTGCAGCTCAAGTCAACAATACGATCCGGAATTGCAACTTTTGCAATGGCCAACCATCTGAATTTCTACACCGGAGAAAAGAGAACGACTTGAACAACTCTACGGGCGTGAGGTAATCCTTCACGGTGGTTACATCGCCCCACTCTTGAATTCTATGGCTTATGTGGTTATGTGAAACGTTTTTTGAACGATATAGGGATGAGAAAATTCGTAGATATGCACTACCCTACTTATCGTGAATTAACATGTGAATTCATGTCTTCTTTGACTGTTGCAAATAGCAAAAATGGTCCAAAATTAATGTTTAGGTTAAATAATAGAAATATTGTTTTAACCTTTGTTGATTTTGTAAGATTTTTTATTTAAATTCTGAATCACCTAAACAATGGCATGAAAATTATAAAATGGAAGATATTTATCATGTTTTGACTGGTTTACCGGCGCCTAACGCCCAACATGCTAGTGCCAGACCCATCTATCACCTTGTACCTAAAATCTGGCAAAGATTTGCAGGTGTTTGTTTTTTGGGTAGGAATGAGCCGCACAATGCCCAAACCAATGAATTAGCTGTAATTGGACACTATTTGTTTGGGTACGATAAGCTAAACATTGCTAGATACATCATCTTCCACCTCAGTTTACATGCCTCGGCTAGTGACCATGCTAGTACCCCAATTCGTCTAGGAGGCCTCATCACCAGGATAGTAGTTAAGAAGGCCGGGTTTGTAGAAAGTGGACCTCACGGTTTCACTAACTGTGGACATGACACCTACATGACTGCTGGGTACCTAGAGGACTTGGGTTGGGTATGTTTGGATAGCCAGAGAGTCCCCCATTGGTGCATTAGGACAGGGTCGGAGCAACCATTACCTATCTTTCCCCTGCCTATCCCGAGTTGACCGCTTTTCCCCCTAGGCAAGAGTCTTACACATATGACCTATTAGTTTCCCACGCTAAGGGGCAAGCTCCACCAGTTCCACCACCCCAGCCTGAGCCCGAGGTAGTGCTTTCACCACCTCGCATGTCTCATGCATCACCACCTCCTCCCCATAGCGACTCTGAGACAATTTGGCATCTTTAGAGTATATGTCAGGCTATAGGGCGCATAGAGTATTCACATAGAGACCTTAGGAGGATGGTAGGCTCCCTTGACCAGCGATTAGGGTACCTTGAGAGGAACCAGGGTAGAGCCTTGTATCCTATGTATGATGATTATGCTCGTCGGGGCAATATTCTCGACGTTGCTATTTACCCTGATTGGTTTCAGCCCCCACCCCAGGGATATGATAGAGATCCCATCGCCCGTGGTATTTATACTAACTATTCATCTTTCCACGGGTACGGCCAGGACATACCTTTTGGGGGACCAGCTGGGGGGGTTTTCAACCTAACTATTTTGGCGGTAGCTCTTCTAGTGCAGGTGGTGCAGGTGGTAACGATGGATGATTCGGCTCCATGGATGAGGAGGATAAGGATTAGCCAGCTGGGCTAGTTTCCGAGCCAATGAGAACATTGTCTGATTCTGGCTTGGGGGAGATTTTTGGATTTGGTATCTTTCTTTTTCCCTTTTCTTTTGTTTTTGGTGTGTTTTCTTAGATTAGATTTATTGTTTTCTAGAATAGTTTTTGATTAGGGGATTTTTCCCACCAATCACCATCTGACAAGTGGACCAATCAGGTTCCGCCATGTGTCTGTCACATGGGCCAATAGGAGCCTGCCACGTGTCAAGCAATGATCCGTCCACTATGGACCAATTACGACACGACACGTGTCCTTCCCATGGCACCTGGGATAACTAGTCACCAAGGCCCAACTTCCGAGGGAAGCCCAATCAGCCCAAGGTTAACCTAAACCTAGATTGACACGTTTCCCGAGGTTATAAATACCTCCCTTAATCCTCATTAAGAGAGGGAGCGCAGATTACGCACATTAAACTCTCTCACCTAGAGAGACCCAATCACTTTAATTTCCGCATTAATTACTCCTTAATCAAGTACTAACTTGACCGCCGGAGGCGGATCTCCAATCATCCGGAGCATCCGTTTGTTTTGCAGGTACAGGCGTCCGGTTCCAGTCTCGGAATTGTAACTCTCCCGCAGGACATCAGAAAACCCCGAAACATTTTGGCGCCGTCTGTGGGGAGAGTACTTCTGAGATGGCATCCACGTTTGTACCGACTCCTGAAGAGAGACGTCCCCTGGACGACCCTCTAGTTCAGTCGAACCACGATACTGAGAATGAATTTGAAGTTGAAGCTCACACAGCTTCAGACGGGACCCTAAGGGCCCGACGTACCCGTCATACCGAAAGGAGGGAGCGGGAACATCTTCATACAGGAAGCGAGCCAGCAGGCGCACCGCCTGTTCGGCAACAGCCGACTGATGGGTCTGCTCCCATCACAAGGAACGAACTCATGACCTTCATGAGGGACTTCAAGGGAGAAATTCAAGAGTTGATCAACAAGAAGCCGCCTGCTCTGGACAAGGAGCAGTCGGCTAAGAAACCCTCCACTTCACAGAAGAGGAAGCCAGTTCAAGGGCGAGAGGCGACCCCTCATCCTAAATCTAGGAAGCGGGAGCCACCTGCCCTTGATTTCACAAAATACCGTTTTCCTACTCCAGGAAATAGGAAACCTGTTCGTCATATTTAGGCGGACGGGTCGAGGAAAACATACACATCGCTCGGCTACTGCTAGAGCAGAAGAAGAGTGACCGATTGTCAGAGTCGGCCTCTACTTCAAACTTCCAAGATAGTCTGCGAAATACCTCGATGAGGCATACTCAGTCGTATCATGAGAGTAAGTCAGGCGACACCTCCCGTCAGTCCGGCTATCATAGCGACCAGGCGGTACCAAACTTACCGTTTGTACCGCAACAATAGTATTTTTTACAGCCACCTCCGTTTGGTGGACATGCAGCAAAAAATGTCCAACCTATGGACTGGCAGCTACGGTTGCTTAGACTTGGCAAACAGCCGTCGGCCTTCTCCAAGGAAATTACTGAAGCCGCTCAGCCGGCCAAAGTGAAAAATGTATTAGTAGGTGCCTATGACGACACTACTAACCCAGAAGACCATCTGATGGCATTCACCAACCTGATGTACCTTCAAGGGTTGGATGATCCCACTTGGTGCAAGTGTTTCCCAGCGACTCTCAAAGGAATCGCACAACAATGGTTCGGCAACCTGCCGACTGGTTGTGTAAATAGCTTCAAGACACTTGCTTACTTATTCACCTCCAACTTCGCCATGAACATCCCTGCGAAGAAGACGACCCTTGATTTAGGAACAATTCAGCAGGGCGAGAAGGAGGGGCTTCGTTCTTACATCAGGCGGTTTAACCTGATGAAAATACAGATTCAAGGGTTACCGGATGAAGTAGCCTATACTGACTTTTTCAGAGGTCTCAAAGACGGGTCGACCTTCAAATTTGATTTGGTCCGAAAGAGGGTGGTGACTCTTCAAGAGGCCTTGATTGAAGCGGAAGCTTATATACAAGCGACTGATCTTTGTAGTACGGTAAAACAGTCAGACGGGAGAAGGTCCGACAAAAGAGAAGGACGACAGAAACAGTCGTCAAACAAAGACGAGAAGAGAAA